AGGGGACATCCTCGACTCCTTCCGGGTGTCCTCAACCCACATGCTCTGTATAGCCAGCGTGCCAGGTAAGCAAGACCACTCACCTGCATTGGTGAATGGTAGGCATGTCCTTACAGCAGTGTTCACGAATGGTGTTTCAAAGTAACAGGACATTGGGTCCTGAAAGTTTCAGATGTCTGACCTGGGTTCGATTCCCCACATAGGTACAATGTGTGAAGCCCATAACTCGTGTTCCCCGCATGACATTGCTCAAAGCGGCATAGAACTAAACTCACTCACTCACTATGTCAGCATTATGTCATCTGTGCAGTAGAATGTCTGAAGCTGGTAGTTAAAGAGTTCTCATGGGTTTGATTCCCTTTTCATGTCATGTTATCAAAGTATTGCTATATATTAAAGCATAATTCCATACTCATAAACATATTTCAAACATGTTATTATCAAAATTGGCTAGTAAACTGTTTTGGCAGGGTCAGGGTCATTAGCAATGTTACTGTGATCCCATTGTTAACAAGACTGGTTTTCCCCCTCTCAGGAGCCATGGAATCAGACTACCCTGTGGCAGAGGAGATCCTCAAGGCAGAAGCACCACCACTCCCCAAGGAGACTGTTGTGTCGGAGGGCAGCACCTCTGCTGACCAGAACGGAGACAGCAATGGGGTAGGGGGGATAACTTTCGTCCAGTGTTCCACTGGCACCACAGGTCAAGAAGCTAGCTCTGAAGCCTCTCCAGCAGGGTCCCCTCCACGCAGGAGGTCCAGAGGTAGGTGTCACTTTTGCTAAACAAATAATATCTTCATTGCAATAAACAGATGTGACCACCTGTCATGATTCCAGATGAAAAAGGGTCCAGAACATCCATGCTTTTCATGGGAACCCAGTGATATGTGGATCGAGTAGGGCATGTGTGTCTGAGCTGATTGTGTCCTTCATCATATTTTAGCATTGAGTGTTGAACATGCATACCCCTTAAAGTCTTTGAGTGGCATTTTGAAGTAATACACACTAGTGTTTGGAATTGGTTAAAATCTCATAATTGATCATTGGTCCATTACAACCGATCAATCATCGAAAATAATTGGTTAGCGTCATTTATCAAATGTTCCTGTTGTCTTTGTAAAAAATAAAGAAAAAACGTAGTAATTTGTTTTGTTTTTTTGCAAATTAAACAAAATCCATTTGCAAATTTTGCATATTAAAAGGATTATTAGTATGTTAGGAACACAGATTTCTTGGATTCTTTAAGATAAATTCAATCATTACTTGGAACGAGCTTGTGCTTATGAAAGGTAAATTTAATGACACAGACAAAAGCAACCTTGTGATAAATATTATTTTTCCTTATCCTGACTCATGCTCTTTTGCTTGTCTCCTTCCTCTTGCGAACATAGTGGAACACTTGTATCTCCCTAATTGAAGTTCCCTTCAATGTAAAATCACTAATTAGTACACCACGAGTTACCTCCCTTCCACAAGTGCGGGAACGAGGGCGCCACCTCTACCCATGTGCCTCACTCTCTCCTTCTTCGCCCAGTGAGCTGGACGTGAGAGCGCCTGTGTCTCCCGACACACTATATCCTTTGATTATATTTAGTTAGTTACCTCGTATAGAGATCTATAGAGGTTTAGCTAGTATCTTTCAACAATTATATATTGATATTTAGTCGTGTTTCTACTGTTTATGCACGGGACGCCGTGCTGTTGCAGTGGATTACGTTGATATTAAAAAATTCTGTACTGTTGCACATTACGTTTTTATTCTGCTGCTGATCCGCATTTAATATGCCCTAGCTGTACTGCGCGCCATGTTTCATGTGATTCACGTTGCAGTTAAGCGATACTAATTTATCCAATTCTACCTTTAATAAATAATTACTTTTAGTTTGAGACGCCGCAGCGAATAGGTCACATGATGCAGAGTCTAGCATGACTGATACACCTGAACCCTCGCCAGTCTACTGCTGTTGGTCGATCCCCCCTCCCGTCTGGGTTTCCGCTAAAATGGTGGAGAGGCGTGGGGCGATCGCCGCCGCCCAAGAAGCGTCCTGCTTCCCCAGACATCCCTTCGTCGCACTGAGGGGTATTCAACGAAGTCTACTAGAACTTTCTCAGCCGAGATTGTTCTCATCGCAGATTTGGGCCTGTATGATGATCAGCCGATCATCATTCCTGATGTACATCAAAGAATGACTGATGTCGGCAACAGTGATGTCAGCGCAGATCAACATTCGATGATCTTCCTGAGGGTCCCGTCGCTACCAACACTCAACGCAGACTTCGCGCACCCCCAGGGCAGCGTCGACCTCTGAGGGAATTCAACGAAGTCTACTAGGACTTTCTCAACGAGATTGTTCCAGCCGCTGAACTTGGCCTCTCACGATGATCAGCCGATCATCATCCTCGACGTATGAGACAAGTAGCGACCCGGTGACAGCTACAATGACATCAGCAGAGATCGTCATGCAGCCTGATGTCTCTACACTGATGTCAGGCGACTTACCTGAGGGCCCCACCACTAACAGCGCAGAGATGGCACCGACTACTTCGTGAGACCATCCCAGGCGAGCTACTACCGGCAAATCATGGTGCGTGATGGAGGGTCACTACAGACTGGAGAAGCAGCCAGCCCAGAGTACGAGCCTTCGCGAAGGCTCCAACTTAGGACAACAACACTCTCTAGAGGCACCTCCAGTCAGCGTAGCAGCCAAGGCGATGCAGCCGCTGGCGCGAAGTCGCAGACCACCTTGATTTCCGAAGGACCCAGATGTACAGCCAGCGAAGGCCTTAGCGGCGGATAGATCATCACATTCCTCGGCTTCATCCTTAGATGCAGACTCAGCCACCAGACCTCACGAAGCCTTCGCGAAGCTCAAATCGCCGTTCCCCAGCACCGAGCGCAGAGGAAGCTTCCGAGCTGGGCGTTCTGGCGAAAACGTCGGCGAAGGCACTCGAGGAAGGACACCCGAATATAGATCGTCATTTAACAGAGTCAAGGGACTACTCAAGAGCTTGGCGAAGCTGTCAATAGTCTCCGATCTCCTCGGTACATCACACATCGACGCCTCACAGGTTACCACACAAGTCTGCACACAAGTCTACATCACCTTCCTAGAGTGGCAGTACGACGGCAGAACATACCTGATGAAGGAAGGCGGCGCAGATGCTATCAAACCCTACCTCCGGACGCCCGATTGCTGCGGTAGCACAGAATCTAGACATAGCATCCCATAAAGCCACAAAGTTCAGACACCATAATTGCCGAACTTTCACGCCTAGAAGTTTTCCACGCACAACATGGACCCCTTCTTCAAGGCTTAAGACATCGATGAAAACTACAAGTTGATCATCGATATCAACAATAAGAACTACAATCGTAAATTGGTTCAGTTGAATCCATGACGAGGCGTATGTTCGTTGGCCTAAATAGATCTAGAGCGATCATTGAGACACTTATCACCAGATTTATTAACTTACGACTTCTGAAAATGATAAGATGATCCACTTTCGGCCCTACTTATGCAGAACCAGCAAGTCCAGGGCAGCCTCGGCGAAAGAACTAGAGCCTCACCAGCTACAAGGGGCGTCGCGCGGAGGAGTAGCGCCGCCGACCCCACATCCTGTTAAACACAGAGGCCATTCGCGAAGCAAAGCTATATATATATATATATATATATATATATATTCTAATCGGACTTTGACTCGATACCTTCGCGAAGGTCGCGAAGGCTAAGTGGCTCAAGTCTACTTCACCAGTAGATCTAGAAGGGATACCGCTGAGAAGCTTCGTGAAGTCTCCGGCGTTCACCGAGGAAGTCTCCTCCAAGGTCTCCATATATACCAGCCACCGTCATATATAGCTACTCCTCAGTCCGTTCAAGACATCGCATAAGTTGTCTATCAACTGTATGCCAGATGCCGAATCTATAAGCCTACGCGAAGACAATTGCACAGGCTATTTACAACACAGAACGCCGCTGTATTAATTTGTCAGCGGCGTTTCATAGATCTTCACAGAAATCAACTATTCGTATAAATTGCTAGTATATGCAATCCCGGACGACGATCACGATTATCTACATCGTGACCATTACGCATATCTGCGACAATTCAATATCGAAATTGAACAGCAGCCTTGTTACAGCGAGTATAACTCATAATCGCGTCAACATTTCTGAGAAGAAATATGTACAACAAATTCAGCTTTAATTCTACAATTATGGCGATACATTCATGTATACAGTCTACAAGCTGACAACACACAAGTTATTGTACCTTTTATATATAAAGAAGTCGGAATTATATTCAAAACTGAAGTACTTTCACGACAGCCAGGAAAATAACCTACCCAGCATTAATATTACAGAGCAAGGTATTTTGCTTACCGAAGCTTTGTAGCGTTTACCATTAATCCTCGAACCGCAACGTGGTCACTCGGGTAACCGGGAAGTTACGATGAAGACCGATGATTGTTCTAATATCAACGACGGCACTATATTATACAAGGTTCCTTTTCCTGCTACACGGTGACATCACAGCAGCGGGTACTCTACAGAATCAAAATGCCTTATTCTGATTGGACCCGATGAACAACGCCCTACACAGAGGTCGAGCATAGTTCACAGTTCAAGACATAGGTTGCAAGTGACAACTTTATATCAATGAGCGAGCAAGCCTCCTTACAGCCCAGTTAACCTGAACCTTCATGATTAGGCTGCTTTCTTCAGGTTAGAGACCTCCCCTGTCAAGTTTAGACAAGGGCACAGCAGTCAGGCGATTTTACATAAAGTTCATCGAGGACACAAACTCCCGGTTGTGCACATACATCGTCAAGGACATGCATAGCGATTTACCTAGACGGCGTGATACAAGTGGATCGAAATCCACAGCGTTTCAGACTACACCTGAATTTCATCATCAAGCTACTAACACAACTAGATGGTTAGTAAACCTACTAAGTTTCTGTTTGGAGAATAAAGCGGAAGTTTCGCATTACCAACTTGGGGATATGAATATAGTGCTACAACACCTCACAAGTGAGGTTTATGAACATGCCTGGATGACATACTTGGACTCCATGATCACGATGATGCTATCCGCTGGCCAGCAAAGAGCACTGTAAATTTATCTCCACCAAACCAAACAGGAAGAAAAAATACAACAGATTTTTTTTCCTCTATCATCAACTTACGCAGAGTGTAGTCTCACGTACTATATCTCCGTTTGGATCAGAACTGTCATACTACGTGCATACAAGACAGATGGACCTAATCCGACCCTCCATGAGCTTTAATACTCTTGATATTAGAGCCCTAACTTCTACAATTTCATCTACACAAATGTTATTTGAAATAATGGAGGGTTTATTACTGTAGATCCGATATGGTGGTTGCCAACCATTATCTGAGAGATATCACCACCGAGGACATCTCAGGTATCCACCAATTCGATCCCATGGTCCTTGCACAACAGTTGACAGTTCCTCGGAGAAGATAAGTCAATCTTACAGATTTTTACTTATCTTATAACAGTACTAAATAGCTTCATGCTATATATAATTTGCTTAAGCTCGTTTTTTATCATCACAGTGGTTACATGATAAATGCATTAGCTAACAAACTCTACAGAGTTTTTTTTTGGCTATTATATACGTAGCTTAAGTCAAGTATATTTTAAGCATAGTACTATACTCATATTGTAAAAATACATTAGCTAACAAACTCTCTGAATTTTGCTATTATATAGGTAGCTTAAGCTCATTCATATCTTAAGCTCAGTACTATGTTTATATCATATAACTATATTAGCTAACAAACTCTAAAGAGCTTTTGCTATTTGGCTTAAGTTTCATCATATCTTAAGCAATATGGTTACATTATAACATGTATTAGCTAACAAACTCTATGGAGTTTTTTGCTATTATATATGTAACTTAAGCTTATTCATATCTTAAAGCAGTACTATGTTTATAGCATATAGGTATATTAGCTATCAAAACTCTAAAAGAGTTTTTGCTATTATATATTGGGCTTAAGTTTTCATCATATTTTAAGCTTTATGGTTACATTATATCATGTATTAGCTAACAAACTCTCACGGAGTTTTGCTATACATATGTAAGCTTAAGGTTTCTTCATATCTTAAGCTCAATACTATGTTGATACCATATAAGTATATTAGCTATTAAAACTCTAAAAGGTTTTTGCTATTATATATTTAGCTTAAGGTTTACTTCATATCTTAAGCTCAATACTAGGTCTAAATCAACATAATAAAATGTATTAGCTATCAAACTCTCACGGAGTTTTACTATTATATATATATAGCTTAAGTTTAATCATATCTTAAGCTCAGTACTATGTTTATAACATAAAAGTATATTAGTTAATAAACTCTAAGGAGTTTTTGCTATATACATTTAGCTTAAGTCTAATCATATCTTAAGCTTAGTACTATGGTTACATTATAAATCTATTAGCTAATAAGCTCTACAGAGTTTTTGGCTATTGTATATGTAGCCAAGTTAATTATATCTTAAGCACAGTACTATACTCATATTGTAAAAATATATTAGCTAACAAACTTTACTAAGTTTGGCTATTATATATGTAGCTTAAGTTAATTATATCTTAAGCACAGTACTATACTCATATTGTAAAAAAATATATTAGCTAACAAACTATACTAAGTTTGGCTATTATATATGTAGCTTAAGTTAATTATATCTTAAGCACAGTATTATACTCATATTGTAAAAATATATTAGCTAACAAACTCTACTAAGTTTGGCTATTATATATGTAGCTTAAGATAATTATATCTTAAGCACAATACTATACTCATATTGTAAAAATGTATTAGCTAACAAACTCTACAAAGTTTGCTGTTATATATATAGCTAAGCTTATTCATATCTTAAGCTCAGCACTGTCTATATCATATAAATATTTTAACTAACAAACCCTAAAGAGGGTTTGTTATTATATAATTAGCTTAAAATTAATCATATTTTAAGCTTAGTGCTATGTTTATATCTTAAAAGTATTTTAGCTAACAAACTCTAAGGAGTTTATACTAGCATATTAACAAGCTTAAGTCTATTAGTCTTAAGCATTGTATTAATATTATATATACTTATCATAATAAGTACATTGTAATAACCTCTATATGGCAGCTGATAAGCTGGCAACAGGAATTCATCAGTTCAATGCCTTTATGAAGTTCTCATAGGGTTATTACAATCATCACAGTTCAAATCACTAATTATTAAAATCCAAAGTATTATATATTCCCACCTCCGCTCTGTTGGATTCTACAAGCAAAAGAGCATGAGTCAGGATAAGGAAAAATATGTAATTTTTTGAGTAAAATTGATATTTTATACTTATCCTGACTCATGAGGTCAGCCCTCCCATCCTCCCCAAATAACACTTTGGATTTCCCTGTAAATTCAAATGTTGGGCTCAGTATATGAGGAGAGAGTGAGGCACATGGGTAGAGGTGGCGCCCTCGTTCCCGAGCTTGTGGAAGGGAGGTAACTCGTGGTGTACTAATTAGTGATTTTACATTGAAGGGAACTTCAATTAGGGAGATACAAGTGTTCCACTATGTTCGCAAGAGGAAGGAGACAAGCAAAAGAGCATGAGTCAGGATAAGTATAAAATATCAATTTTACTCAAAAAATTACATGTTGATGCAAACAAGTGTTCCAAGATTGGTTGCGTTTGATTATGAGAAAATATGTTTGATTGCTTGGTCGTTTAGTCACTGCGACCAATCTTCGATTATTTCAATTAATTGGACCACCACTAATACACACAAGGGAGAAAATATATTATTGTCAAACCCTTTGTTATAGTACTGATTACTTGTCAGTTCTGTTTAAATGCCCTAATTTACTGTTGGCTTTCCTTACATTTCCGCTTTTGTAGTACTTACATGTACATACATGAGCTCCACTCTCCATTCCAAAAATAAAGGTCTTCAAATGTTTTAATTCCAGAGCTGAGTCCTGAAACAGATGCAGAGGTTGCATCAGCTCTTGCCGAGGCTGTCACAGGTAGGTTGGCTACCATACCTGTTACCAGATTTGGACATGCTGTAATATTGTATACAGATGGCTTTCACTTTTTACATCATTCATCAAGAATAAAATCAACCCAAGTCTGCTGTTGGAGCTGTTGGTAGAAAATTTCAGGAAGGACTGGAGATGTTGTCTTTGGTCATACCACTAACTGAGATTCTTGCTTCTGGTGTATTACATCTAATTGGTTTGTGATGAAACAATACATGTCAACATAGACCCCATATCACATGATTGATATTGACCATGTACATTGACTTGTCACTTGATTAAGATCGACTAGTTATGTGGGGCGTGGTGGGCGAGCTGGCTAAGGCGCCTGTCTAGTGATCCAGCGGGCATGAGGTGCTGGGATCAAGCCCACCTGTGACCGGGTGTAAAAACCTTTGAGTCAACTTTGTGTGCAGACTCTTTCAGTGTTGTCATAACCCCTAGAGTACAGTACACAACCCTGTGCACTTAAAAGAACCCACGAATCCGTTGGTATATGGCCAGATGGTGGACACATGAATATGTGTAAACACCTAGTTGTGGGTACAGCAACGTGCAGTAAACTTGGACAAAGTACTGTGACTATGTGTCCCAGTCCACCCAGCTGTGAATGGGTACCTCGTAAGGATGGGAAAGCCACAATAACTCGGTGCGCCTTGTGGCAGCAAGAGATGTATGATCTCTAGGGATCTGAGATTGATAATACGATGTGCCGTTGAGATTGACATCCAATGATCGAGGGGGAAAATACCAGCGCGCCTTGAGCATGCACTAGTGCATGGATATGTGCGCTATATAAATATCCAATAATAATAATTATGTGATGAATATTGAATCATCTACTAGAAAACCATTTTCTGATTTGTAGCAGTTTGTCTAGTGTTAAACAGAGGATGGTTTAAAAGGCTGCATAAACTTTGAAGTGAATTTAGATACAATAGAACAAATTATTTGTCTTGACATGGTCAACTTCTGGGATCAGTTGTGAGGGTCCCTGTTCTGGCCTGTTTACTTCATCAAGAGAAATTATTTGAATAGTGTAAATACACTTTTACCATTAGGTAGATGTAGGGAAAATCAAAATTAATTTATACTCCTGATGACTGATTTGTTTCTTACCTTAACTTGTTATAGATTTCACACACTAATTAAACTTTACCCTGCCACAATCATCCTGGTAACATTATTGGTTTCTGATTAAAAAATCGTGAAGAACTATTGACATAAAACGATCAGGTTTGTTAACAGTCTGTTATAAAAGCCAAGCCAGTTGAGATCAATAGTTCACTATTAGGTAGGACAGAGCATAGCCAATGTCAACATCCAACTGATGTCTGTCCAATAGTGATTGGTGGATTTTAAGCAGTTTCAGTTTAAAGACAAGGTAGCATAGGGGTTAACGCAATCGCTTGTCACGCCAAAGACCCGGGTTCAATTCCCCACCTGGGTACAATATGTGAAGCCCATTTCAGGTGTCCCCTGCTGTGATATTGCTGAAATATTGCTAAAAGTGGCATAAAACCATACTCACTCACTTGTTAATTTCCCAGCCACCAAAATTTGGTCTGCTTTTATTGCATTGTAAGTTTGTAACTGTACAGAGACAGACAGTTTGAACATCAAGAGACTTGTGATTCATCCCAATGTGTAACCATATTACAAACACACTACTAAATGAGATGTAGTTGGATTTGGTCAATATCCTCAATAGGCATGAATGACTGCAGCAGTGTGATATGGTGTGTTTCATATTTGGCATGAATATGCAGCAGTGTGTGTGTGTTCATATTTGGCCAATATCCTCAATAGGCATGAATGACTGCAGCATGATATGGTGTGTGTCAGATTTGGCAGGCATGAATGACTGCAGAGTGTGGATATGGTGGTGTCATATTTGGCCAATATATTTGGCCAGTGTGATAATTTGGTCAATATCCTCAATAGGCATGAATGACTGCAGCAGTGTGATATGGTGTGTTTCATATTTGGTCAATATCCTCAATAGGCATGAATGACTGCAGCAGTGTGATATGGTGTGTTTCATATTTGGCCAATATCCTCAATAGGCATGAATGACTGCAGCAGTGTGATATGGTGTGTTTCATATTTGGCCAATATCCTCAATAGGCATGAATGACTGCAGCAGTGTGATATGGTGTGTTTCATATTTGCAGATGATGGTGACAGCGGAGAAGCAAGGGAAAAGGCGTACAATGAGATCAACAAGGAGGCCCATGATGAAGGTAGGTGAACCTTCTCCACACACTGCTGGCTTGAGTGAGGGGCAGTGGGGTAGCCTAGTGGTTAAAGCGTTGGCTCGTCATGCTGAAGACCCGGGCTCGATTTCCCACATGGGTACAATATGTGAAGCCCAATTCCAGTATCCCCGCCATGATATTGCTGGAATATTGCTGAAAGCGGCATAAAACCCAACTCCCTCACTTACTCTGCCCTGAGTGTCCATCTCCACAGAATGTTGTCCATATCCTGTGTGAAAAAGTCTGGAAGTGTAGCATAGTATTTATGGTGATTGCTCATCATGAATTTGAATTCCAGTGTCTTTAGAGAAGTTCTGATGTCCAGCTGTGATTATGCTAGATTACCCTTAATATTGTCATAAAAGTGGTTTAAAATCATGCTCACATACTCTATGTTAAGGAAGCCAAATGAGTGTCATATCATTACCATTGCTTTGAAGATCAAGTTGCTGAGCAGTAATTTTTTCTTTCACCGGAACATTATGAATGTAATCAATATATTGATCCAAGTACTAAGGAAAGTTTAAACTGACAGTCTGGATACTCTCACTAATAACAAAAGAGTTCATTGATAGAATAAAAATATTGTGAAGTACACTTGTAAAAACCATGATGTTCCATATTTGTTGTAGATCCTCTTGGAGCCACGACACTCGAGAGCATCAAGCCAACCGTGTTTCGAGCAACAGGTTCCCCAGTGTCGTCAGGAACAGCCACACCCAACTCCACATCATCAGGTGGAGAGAAGCGCCTGCAGGATCAGGAGGAGCTGGACAAGGAGGGCATATCGTCCATCGCTGCTGACAACGAGCTGCAGTATGGCGAGCTGGAGAAGATGAGCAGTCTCCTCCCCACCATGTGGATGGGCTCACAGAGTGGCAGGTGAGGCTTGGGTTCTGTCTCTGGAGTGACTGTAGTCCTCAATCTAGCCTTCAGCTCTTTTTGTTTCAGTTCTCCCACTGTCATCAGTGGTGATCTCCTGCTTACAAACATCACGTTGCCTGTATTACCAGATGCATATACGCTGATCACTACCCCATGTGTCAAGATGTAAGCTGTTGAGAAACAGTCTGTTAGCTTTTATGCATCCTCAATAGCATCTTCTGCCAACTGCCTTCTGTTCCTCCCAAACTCAGGGTTGGTCCAGTTTTCTACGGTGCTGCAGTTTCTCAAGCAATGTTGCATCCTTTAGAAAGCCAGAGACAAATGGTAGTGGTTCAAGTCCCAGCTCACCCTATTGAGTTTCTTAGTTTGTGTGCACCATACCCATGCTAAAGGGTTTCACCTTAGTGTCAAATATTGGGACTGCATCAGTCCAGGATTTCCTCCTGCATCACCCTGACACTCCATGTTATAACTAGAATACTGTTCCCAGCAGTGTTTAACCCATCTCACTCACTTGCTCACACAGCCTGTGAAGATCTGGGTTAGAATTTGTCTTCAACAACCCATGATTGTCGTAAGAGGCAACTAACGGGATCGGGTGGTCAGACTCACTCACCTGGTTAATACATGTCATCGTATCCCAGCTGCATAGATTGATGCTCCTGATGTTGATCACTGGATTGTCTGGTCCAGACTTGATTATTTACAGACTGCTGTCATATAGCTAAAATATTGCTGAGTGCGGCGTTCAACAACGAACACTCACTCAAACCCATCCTCACCCACTCACTCACTCACTCATCCTGAACTCTAAATCAGACTCCTTTATTAACACTCTGAAGCAGTTGTGTTGTGATCTATTTGAGATTCTGCACAACTCAGAGTTAAACACAACTCACTCACTCATTGTTTTCTGTTCCAGTTTATATGTGCACTCAGCTGTGGCCCAGTGGAGGAGGTGTCTGCATTCTGTCAAACTTCGGGATTCCATTCTCAGCATTGTGTAAGTGTCATTACAACACTGTATGCAACAATATATTGTACAGCCTTTGTGTTAGCTATTCTCTTCCATGTGACTAATTGCAGGTGTGAGGCATGTGCTCTGTTCATTAAAAAGATTTAATTTGGGGAATCGAAATCGATAATTTTGTGGGAAAACAAGTTCTAACATTGTTTAAGGTGCAGATTCTTATCCATCAAATCCTTAGAGTCCATCTCATCCATTCAGAGATTCGGAAACTGTTTGGGGAATATTTCCTGACTGGATTGTATTCCCTGCACAACTGATCTGTTAACCATTGTACCTTGTTTTTAACTCATATTGTTTTCTTGAATTAAGTTCTTAGATCATGTTTTTTGGTGCTGACTGAAAGAACTGGAATCAGAGGTTGATGTTGCTTGTATTGCAGCCATGTGAAAGGTCGTGTCATGGTGGCCCTGGCTGATGGAACAGTGGCGATATTTCACAGGGCGGCAGGTAGGTCTCATTTTACATCTTACCTGCGAAGATCAGGGTTAGAATTGGTTTTCAGTATCCCATGTTTGTCGTAACAGGTGGGTCCGCTGACTTGGTTGACACATGTCATTGTATCCCAACTGCATAGATTGATGCTGTTGATCGATGGATTGTCTGGTCCAGACTCGATTATTTACCATATAGCTGGAATATTGCTCAGTGTTGCTTCAAACAACAAACAAACATTTTATTATCCCCCGCCGTGCGTTTAGCGCGATGCGGGGGATATAGTACATATATTGGCTCCGTACGTACGTACGGATTGGAATATCTGAAGAACCGTTCACTAGATTCTTTTCATATTTGGTACCTGGGTTCATCACACTATAAGAAAGGTCCAAGTCATATTCAATACCAAGCTTTATCTCGGGAAGGCGCAGGGCCCAGTCGATTTTGGTGACCTTCACATAATTTTCAAGGTCATGGCGACACTTTGAAGATTTCAGCATAATAAATTACATGTTATGCTTGTCAGCGAGATACCTCAAGAACCATTCACTGGAGTTTCTCTTTATATTTGACACCAAGCTTCATCCAGGGAAGGTGCAGGGCCCAGTCGATTTTGGTGACCTTCACTTAAGTTTCAAGGTCACAGAGACACTTTGAAGATTTCAGCATATTCAATTACTTGTTAAGATAGTCAGCAAGATATCACCAAAAAATATTCAGTGGATTTTCTTCATATTTACACCAAGCTTCATCTAGGGAAGGCCCAGGGCAATTTTGGTGACCTTCACATAATTTGTAGGGTCACGACGACACTATGAAGATTTCAGAATGTTAACCTGAATTGTCAGCAAGATATTTTAAGAACGGTTCACTGGATTTTCTTCATAGACTTTCAAGACCTCCCTTGAATGTTTTTCAATAAGCAATTTCTTTAGTACTAGTTTCGCATATTTCATACACTATGACATTCAAAGACTAAAGACTAAAGAGCAAGATAATGTTTTTGTTGACATTTAACTTCATCTTAAACTTTCATTACTTTATAAGTTTGATTTGATAATTTGCGGCTGGGGATTATGTAACCTTAGTGACAATGCTTGTATCTATTTCATACAAGGATTTCTTGTATGACAAGAGCTGTCACATAGAGTTGATATGTTTGTATGACTCAGTTCTAGTCAGCATAGATATTGTAACTTGTCCATCTTCTGTTGTTGTTGACTTGCGTTGATATCTACAACCACTTGAAAACTAGCATGTTTGAACCAATCGTTCTAGTGTCCTGATCCCCAATTGTTCAGAGCATTGCATACCGTGAAGGTTCGTGTTAGAATATTGATCTTCAGTAACTCATGCTTGTGGTAAAGGCGACTAACAGGATCGGATGGTCAGGCTCGCTCACTTGGTTGACACATGTCATTGTATCCCAATTGCGCAGATCGATGCTCATGCTGTTGATCACTGGATTGTCTGGCCCAGACGTATGTACGTCCCGATTCTTGTTAATGCGCTATCTCATGAACTGTTGTACCCAGTGTCTTCATTGGGGGATTACACAGACACCAGTTGATTGGGGTGACCTTGACCTTATCTTCAAGGTCACCATGACACTTAGAACACTGTTCAAACTCTTGTTAACGCAACTTCTCATGGACTGTTGTACCCAATGTCTTCAAATTTGGTGACATCCTACACTGGGGGATTACGCAGACACCAGGTGATTTGGGTGACCTTGACCTTACCTTCAAGGTCACCACGACACTTTGACCACTTTTCAAACTTATTTAAACGTGATATCTCATAAATCATTGCACCCAATGTTTTCAATTATGTTGACAGCCTACATTGGGTGATTATGCAGACACCAGTCATTTCAGGCATCTTTTATGTGACCAAAAGATAAAAAGTAGTAAATAGAGATATTCCATTCTTTAGCGGCGGGGGACATTGCCATATCAGTGGCAAACACTTGTTTACAGCTGGAATATTGCTGAGTGCAGCGTAAAACTAAACTCACCCACTCACTCTTTTGTAGTTAGACAACTCACTCACTCACTCACTCATAGCAGTGCAGTATCTGAAGCATTTCATGAATTTATAGTTACGATACTTTGTAACGTTGAAAAGGCTTTGTGGATTGGGACTTAGCTATTTTTCTTCAAAAGATTTTGATCTAATCAATTTCTTGTCTCAAAGCACAGCCATATTTAAAACCCTCTTATTGGTTGATTCTTGTGTTGTGTAACTATCCAAATACAAGCTTGACCTTGTCGTGATGTTAGGGCTGTAATCATAAGTCCGTCCTTTAATAGTGACTCACAATCTTCATTGCGCTAAGATTGCTCTGTGAAGCGTTATTTTATGATGCTAGTCTCCTGCCTAATTAAGCCAAAACTTTTCTTGAGCTCAGTTGTGTTAACTGCTTCAGTTGTTCGAGAATATGTTCAAGCAAACAAGTATAACGTTTTTGTTGCTGATGATATTTTGTATCTGGGTTATTTGAAGTGGGGCATATTGAAATTTGACCTTCACTGCACCTCATAACCTGAATCAAAATGCAGTCAGATTCTTCTTCTGACAGACTGATGCAGCTGGAAAATGTCAAGCAAGCACCTGCTTCTATGATTCCTAAATTCTCTAATATTTCAAGTGTTATCAGTTGCTTTAGAAAATCATCCAAACATGTTCTGAAAGTACATATGGTACATATTTGGTATGAATGTTAAGATATGCATGTAATGATATTAAGTATAGTTGTTTGTATTTTTGAGAATGTGATCAGCAGTCAGCCTTTGGTTGAGCAGACTTTTTTCGACTAATTTTCCAAAACTGATGTGGACTGTGGGGTAGCCTAGTGGTTAAAGCGTTCGCTCGTCATGCCAAAGGCCCAGGTTCAATTCCCCACATGGGTACAATTTGAGAAGCTCATTCCAGGTGTCTCCTGCCATGAATGTGCTGGGATATTACTAAAAGTGGCACAAAACTAAACTTAACTCACTCACTCACTGATGAACAAAATGTGTTCACTAATTGTGCTACAGTTGAATTGATATTTAACTGGTAATCAGCATTCAGTTTTTCCACGCTTGTTAAAGTAATTGTCTTTGCTTAGTATCATATTGCAATAGTTGCTAGTTGAGTTAAAATATAATTCAAGTTGCAGTACTTGATCTGAAGCCTGTTTGTGTGAAAGTCTCCATTTGTCCATGCTAACCTGCTAACCGGTCTGTAAACAATCGAGTCTGGACCAGACAATCCAGGGATCAACATCATGAACATCGAATTGGGATACGATGACATGTGTCAACCCAATCAGTGAGCCTGACCACCCGATCCCATTAGTCGCCTCTTACGACAAGCATGGGTTACTGAATATCAATTCTAACCCGGACCTTCACGGGTGAACTACAAAAGAAATTCTGCCTCTGAAAGTAAGAGACTAACAAGTTTAACAGGGCTGACACTTGCAGAAGGGTCTACTGAATCTACTGAATACACGATTCCAGCTGTCCAGTGAGGAGAGGGGACTTGAGGTGTTCTCAGAAGATGAAAAGTAGAGATTATTACTAGTCAAGAGTTGATTTGAAAGTATGCCTATTGATCTGTGCACATAGTCCTCTAATCAGACAGGATTAAGGCTTGGACCATATTAATTGTACTTTTGCTAGAAGAGGAAATCATTCTCATTATAGTTGATTCAAGAGCGTAAGTTGCCCCATGGCACAGCTAGAAATCCTAGGATTTACCAAACTGTGTAAATTGTAATGGATTTGGTATCAAGCCTTCTTGAAGACTTCCTGGTGGTATACAAAAGTAAGCCATTTTGTGTTGTGACCTGTCTGAGCAAGGAAGGTCTCAGACATCATTTGCTATTTCAAGGAATCTACAGCTGCAACTTTAAGTTATTTCAGGACTTCACAGACATAAACAGGGCAAGCATGAACTTTATAGAATCTGTATCTGCAGGGCTTCTCTTGTAATCCAGTTTGGCAGGACTTTCATGTGCTGTTTTGGGAACCCACAGTTTTCTTTATGAAAGAGCAGCCTTAAGGTTACTCAAAACCAAAATTTGCAGGATGTGGACAACTTTTAAAGATCACATTTATTCCTATTTAAAGTTATCAAAATGTAATGGGTTGGGTTTTATGCCACTTTTAGCAATACTCCAGCAATAGCATGGGGGGAGACACCAGAAATGGGCTTCACACATTGCAGCAATGTGGGGAATCGAACTGACAAGCGAATGCTTTAACCAAAAGGCTACCCCACTGTGTCATCAAACATATCTGTACGTATCATATATCAGTGGAAGATCGTATTTTTGATATTCTGTGTATCATCTCAACCTTATCGCTTATTGATACCGAACTGCTCCCTGTGCAGTCTTCACCCAATACTGTCTTTCTGAAACAACTTAACTAATGCTTAAGGTTATATTACACCAAATCAGATTCCGTAGTTTAACAAACACCTTTCAGGGCAGAGTGAATCATCTGACAGCTGTGATTGGATGATTTTGTGTAAGATTTTTGTGGTTTTTAAATGTACATCAATCCAGTAATTAAAATTGACCATATTTTTCAATATTTAGAGCTGTCTTTTTTAACATAATGACTAATGCTGAATGTGTACAGAGATATTTTCAAGTAGGTGACATTTGGAGTGGAACTGGAGTTGGTGTGTCCAACTTTCTGTACTTGGAAAAGGAATTGGTTAACCTAGCCAAAATTTATGTTTTATTGTGGCTTTAAGGCCATACGGTACATATATATATATACATTTAATGGTCATTAACAACCTGGTTCTTTTTAAGACAATATAAAGTTACTAAGGAAGTCTATGGGGAAAAATAACTGGGTTTTTTAATCAACCTTTCATGTCAACTTCACTGTTACTTCTTGTGATGAATGCAGAACCAAAGGAACCAGTCTGTTGCCACTTTTTCACTGCTCGGAAGTACGATTTTTTCAGTTCATGGCTTTGATATTGTTATTCTGGCAAATCTACACATGTATTGTATCATGACCAGTCTATTGAAATATATTAAATGAATTGAACATATCAAACTTCATGTCATTACATAAATAAGTTTAGAGTATTTTGTAACTATGGCTGTCTATTGGACCTGGAAGGGAATATTTCAGTGGAGATTGTAAATTTTCATAAGCTCATGCTTAGTAGAACAACAGTATAAATGAAAGATGGGTGATCAGGATCTGAAAGTTGGATGATTGCACCACTGGAGCCCAATGGCATGGATTGGTTGCCTGTTGCCCTAATAAGGCTGGAGTATTTCTGATGCTTGTCCTAAACAACTTTCACTGGCTTACCCTCACTCCCTTCAAGCAGTTTTAGGGGCTTTGGGGGAGTCTAGTGGTTAAAGTGTTGGCTCGTCACACCGAAGACCCGGGTTCGAATCCCTACATGGGTACAATGTGTGAAGTCCATTTCTCGTGTCCCCAGCAGTGATGTTGCTGGAATATTGCTAAAAGCTGCGTAAAACCAAATTCAATCAGTCAGTCAGTCAGTCAAGCAGTTTTACTGCCAGTCCATAGTTAACACAGCTTACTGTGTTTGAAGAAGACCCAGCACCTATGGAACCCTTACTTTGGGCTGACACTGCTGCCTTATCTAGACCCTTGACACTAGCTTCACTCGTGCCAAGCAAGCTAAGGGATTTAGAAGGGCCTCTCCCTTTAAGCTGTTGTTTCAGAAAAGATGTTGCTGCTTAAACCCTCAGAAGTGAAGTTAGTGCTTACCCGAATTATTTTGAAAAGCAATTCAGCCTCACTGCAATAGACTTTGAGGTACGCGGAATACAAGGTGACATCGCCAGTCTTGTACCCTGTGCATAAAAACACGCACGCACGCACGCCGCTGCCGCTTCAGCCGGGCCGCTCGCTCACTCACTCACTCACTCACTCACTCACTCACTCACTCACTCACTCACTCACTCACTCACTCACTCACTCACTCACTCACTCACTCACTCACTCACTCACTAACTCACTCACTCTCTGTCTCTCTCACTCTCTTGTACATTGTGGATCGGATGGTCAGACTCTCTCACTTGGTTGATGCATGTCCTCGTATCCCAGATTGATGCATAGATCGATGCTCATGATGTTGATCGCTGGATTGTCTAGTCCAGACTTAATTATTTGCAGACTGCCGCCATATAGCTGGAATATTGCTGAGTGTGGTGTTCAACAACAAACACTCACTCAAACCCATCCTCACTCACTCACTCACTCATGTAAACCCACACTCACTCACTCACTCACTCGCTTGCTCACACACAAACACATTTAGATTGTGGTCAGATGTAACATAATATGTTATATTTGAGATACCACTTTCCAAGTGACATATATAGATTCTGGTCCAGACAAGACATGTGTTGCATTTGACCACAATCTAAATGGCAGTGTGTATATATAGCATAGATGGCTCCTCAGAACATCAGTCTCTGATGTGTCTGTCTGGTCAAGACTCGATTATAAACAGACAGCCATCATATAGCTGGAATAATTCTGAGTATGGCATTTAACCACAAAAATACCCAGTTATTGATATCACATGTTATGGCAGACGTCTCAAAGTTACAATGACAATGAAGCTGAATCTTTGCATGGGGCTTCAGAGGTGGGTTCATAAACTACTGGTAAGTAGACCATCAATCTGACCGCCTCTGATTCCTATTGAAAATCTTTAGATGAACAATAACTCAGTCGTTTTATGCATGTCTCCATGAGCAATTTTGGATGCTGCCTGTCTGAATTGGCTCTGGTCATGTATCAAATATTTATAGGAAGAGTAGATTAGACTGTCTTAATATCAGTGTGCATTCTTAGCCAAACTAGGTCGGATGGTCATGAAGAAGGTTGGTGTTTTTGTTAAAGAAGATTTACCCTGTAGTGTTCATGCTGTTTTGAATGTAAAATATGTAATAGTTTCTTATGATTTATCTATGCATATTTGCAAAAACCAATATCAACCAAAATTCTGCAATTATGTTGGGGCAAGGTCCGCGATTGCGATTGACATTTCTGCACTACATAATCGATAGTTATGAGAATTCCAGGTGATGTTTTATTTTTTCAAAGTTTCTTGCATTTCACTGCTAGTTAGATGAATAAGGAGTTGCAGTTGTAATTCAATGCCCCATTATTGGATATAAAGAACATCAAATATCAGGATAACTATAAAAGTATCAATTTACTTGAAAAATTACATTTTTGTCAATTGCTTGTCACTGGGAAAGAGATAATGGTTTCACAGATTCACAAGCTAAATTACAGTAAATCTTTTTCATGTTCTCTTTTTGTTGGTTAAATGCTAGATATGATTATTAATTAGCTTATCAATTAACTGCTTCGTAAGAGTAAAAGGCTATCAGCTGGTCCTCTGGTCACAAACTTCAAGTATCAGCACACCCTAATGTGTTGGTCACACTCGAGCCATCTGTGTTGGTCTTGTACTGCAACCATTGGTCAGGCTTGAAGACTTTGTCGTTTGCATGACGCTGTACTCTGATGAACACTTGCTCACAATATCAGTCACTGGATTGTCTGGTCCAGATTCAAATATTTACAGGCTACTGTCATACAGCTGAAATATTGCTGAGAGCAGCAGTAGGCAACAAAGAAACACTTTGACCATATTCATGGGATATGGAGTTATTGTCCCCTGCCGCAACGCGGAACGGGGTCTATGTATTCAGCGTACGTACATACGTACGCCCCGATTCTTGTCAACGCGATGTCTCATCTGTTGTACCCAATGTCTTCACATTTGGTGACAACCTACATTGTGGGATTACCCATACACCAGTTTATTTGGGTGACCTTAACCTTATCTTCAAGGTCACCACGACACTTTGACCACTTTTCAAACTTATTTAAATGTGTTATCTCATAAAACATTGCACCCAATGTCTTCAATTATGTTGACAGCCTACATTGGGTGATTATGCAGACACCAATCATTTCAGGCATCTTGTATGTGACCAAAAAAGTATAAAGTAGTAAATATGTTATAGATATTTCATTCTTCTTTAGCGGCGGGGGACATTGCCATATCAGTGGCAAACACTTGTTATATACAGAGTTAACTGGACCAAACAAACTGTTACTAGCCTCATGCATGGTACCAGTGACTGAAACCACAGATTGTAGTTCTGAAAGGTAACCAGTTGGCTGCTCATCACTCAAGGTTTAGTTGTGACTGCATGTGTCAATGTATAGGCACATGTTTCAGGCTTCTAAGGCATTGCAGTTGCATGTACAGACTTACATCCCTTAGGAATATCAGGATCCTATGATTTCATGCCAGATTTATCCTTACTATGAGGGGGGGGTGGGGTAGACTAGTGGTTAAAGCGTTGGCTCGTCACTCCGAAGACCCGGGTTCGAATCCCCACATGGGTACATTGTGTGAAGCCCATTTCTGGTGTCCCCCGCCGTGATGTTGCTGGAATATTGCTAAAAGCGGCGTAAAACCAAAACTCAGTCAGTCAGTCCTTACTTTGAATTGCATTCAGTGATACACATAAGGAAAATAAATTGTTATGGATGTCAACCTCTTTATTATAAGCAACACAACCTTTTATGTTATATGCTTACTTCTTCTTTAGGTGAATTTACATTTGGCCATATAAAGATTCTTGGTTTGTTGGTACCATGTAGTAAATGTCTAAGATGGGCTCCCACATTCAGCTGGCACTCAGCCACATCACTGAAATATTGTGTTTTCATACACACAGTAATCTAACAGACACACATAATACTGGAAATTTAAATAGCGCTAAATCCAACCACCAAAGTGGGTGCTCAAAGCGCTACAAAATAATAATAATGTTTGAGTAGAGTTAATAGTGCAGTGAAAAGACATGCGTTTTAAGATGTGATTTGAACACAGCAACTGATGGGGACAGTTTTAAGGCAAGGGGCAGTTCATTCCACTGCGATGGACCACAAACACTGAAAGAACACTTTCCATAAGAGGTCAGTCTATAAGAAGGAATTTTCAAAAAGAATCTGCTTTCAGATCGCAGTTGTCTGGATGGTTTGTAAGGGGTTAGCAGTTCACTTAGATATTCTGGTTACATAACTTTTAGACTCTTGAATGTGATACAGAGTACTTTAAATGCTATCCTCGCCTCAACCATAAGCCAGAGTAATGACTTCAGTATCGGCGTAATGTGAGAGTACTTTGGGGCACGTGTCACGATTCTTGCCCCCGTCGTTGTTGGTCACTCTATGTTTTGCTTGCTCCTTTTGGATGGAGGGCAGTGGGGTAGCCTAGTGGTTTAACCGTTCGTTCGTCACGCCGAAGACCCAGGTTCGATTCCCCACATGGGTACAATGTGTGAAGCCCATTTCTGGTGTTCCTGCCGTGATATTGCTGGAATATTGATAAAAGTGGCGTAAAACTAAACTCACTCACTCAATATTTGCATGGCCATCAAAGTTGTCAAAAATATTTGTATGCATTATTTACTTCTTACAGATGGTCAATGGGACTTGAAGAACTACCATCTGCTCGACCTTGGTCGACCACATCACTCAATCCGGTGCATGACAGTCATCGCCAACAAGAACGTCTGGTGCGGATACAAGAACAAAGTACACATCATTAATCCTCAGACCATGGGTATTGAGGTAAGTACTATGGTTATAATCAACTCAAAGGGACCTCTAATCTTAGTTTATTAGAACTAAGTTCGTTCCTCCCATTTCAGCTAATATGTAAGGAAAAATTAGTTGTCAATGTCAGTTCATTATAAGTCTGTTGATTATAAGTCTGTTGATTATTATAGCCCCGCTACGAAGTAACAGGGTATATAGTGTTCATTATGTCCTTCCAACCCGAAACTTTGTCCGTAGCATATCTCTTAAAGTTTACATGCTAGGTTCACCAAACTTCACACACATGTTAATCATTACCCATTGATGTGCCTTTTGCTATTTTAAAGTTTTTTCAGAATTTTGTTTTTTTTGCTGTTTCCATGGAAACACGACTTAGTGCCAAATGTGTTTGATGGTTTTGTCCGGAGCATATCTCTTAAAGTTTACATGCTAGGTTCACCAAACTTCACACACATGTTAATCATTACCCATTGATGTGCCTTTTGCTATTTTAAAGTTTTTTCAGAATTTTGTTTTTGCTGTTTCCATGGAAACACGACTTAGTGCCAAATGTGTTTGATGGTTTTGTCCGGAGCATATCTCTTAAAGTTTACATGCTAGGTTCACCAAACTTCACACACATGTTAATCATTACCCATTGATGTGCCTTTTGCTATTTTAAAGTTTTTTCAGAATTTTGTTTTTTGCTATTTCCATGGAAACACGACTTAGTGCCAAATGTGTTTGATGGTTTTGTCCGGAGCATATCTCTTAAAGTTTACATGCTGGGTTCACCAAACTTCACTAACATGTTAATTGTTACCCATTGATGTGCCTTTTTGCTATTTTAAAGTTTTTCAGAATTTGTTTTATTTTTGTTTCCATGGAAACATGACTTGGTGCAAAATGTGTTTGATGGTTACCTGGCCACAGCATATCATCGAAACTATACATGCTAGGTTCACCAAACTTAATACACAAGTTAATCATGACCCACAGATATGCCATGTGCTAAAAAATAACAATCTTCATCTACGTCCACTTCATTGTGTGCATCATGAGACAGTCAAGTTCAATTGTATGTCAGGTTTCCACGGGAAAAAAAAAAAATGTTTCCATAAATTATTACTGTAATCAGTACATGGCAAAACTATTATCTAACATGTATATAAAGTTTAGTAGAGTCAAGGAGAAAGTCTTGTGAGCTGCTGATCCTTGTCATATTATATATATAGCAATACCAGTCATTTCCATGTCCCAAAGTGGGAAGCGGGGATATGTGAGCTGTGCTCACTTCTACACTTGTATATGTAGTTTAAGAACATCTGAAATGTCCACCTGTTGAAGAATATAGGCCCTTAGGGTTATTTGTAACAGGTAATGTTCACCAAGTGGTGTATAAAAACCAAAATGCTTCCTGGAAATGACCTGTGACCATGCAGATTTAGTGTGACATAATGTCAAGACGGATTTGTTTATTCAATTTTAATTGAAGGATATAAACCTTCTGGACGTTGAGGGCATATCCTGCTGAAAGTAAAGTTCAAGGGTACTAGGGTATGCGTGTGGTTAAAGCTTGGGCTAATCCACATCGAGACTGAATCCCAACATCTTTAAGAACTCTGAGACTCATACTTGATATTCCCTGCTGTGATATGGATGGAATTGCACTACTCTCTGCTAGAAACTCTGCAATCATGTATTTAACATAAGCCATCAGTTTTCACAGACCCCTGAAGATCTGGGTAATTCACCTTCAGCAACCCATTCTTGTAAGATGTGATAAAAGGAATCGGGTGGTCACTGACTTGTTGATGCATGTCACCATATGCCAAATGTATAGGTAAATGCTCATGACATCTATCACTGGATTGTCAAGACTTGGAGTTGAGAGCTGCGTGGCAAGGACAAGAGTAAAAGGGAGGCAACTTTAAAAAAGGAAGACTTCTCTTAAAAGGTTCCCATTATTCAAATACTGTGGCGGCAAATCCCTATAACCCTAGGATCCCCCCACTTTCAATACTGATCATGAACTGTAATCATGACATAGATGTAACATAGTGTTGTAGCACAGAATGTTATTCACTCACTCACTCATGTTTCAGAAAAGTTTTGATGCCCATCCTCGCAAGGAAAGCCAAGTTCGGCAGTTATGTTGGGTCGGGGAGGGTGTGTGGGTGTCCATTCGTCTAGACAGCACTCTCCGCCTGTACCACGCCCACACACACCAGCACCTCCAGGACGTGGACATAGAGCCGTATGTCAGTAAGATGCTAGGTAAGTCTGCCTGGCCCAGTGTCATCTATGGAAGTGGAGTTAATACACAGAGAGTGTGGAGTAGTGTAGCCAGACGTCTTAGGCTTCTATATTAAGTAGCATAAAGGTTATATGACCATGTTGCTAAAGGTTATGAGTTACAGTGAAATCATTATTGCATTCTGTTTTCACTGGTCAGAAGTCTGGAGACATTTTGGGTAATCTAATTTCAAACAGATTAATTTTGTTTCGTTCTGTGCATCCTTGTGTTAATCCTGCTCATGTCAACGTACTGCAATCAAGTCGTGAGATAGAATAAGTATATAGATATACAATTTTTATTACATTTTCAAATATTAATCAGGTTCATATTACATTCTGGGAACACAATGACTTTTTTTCAAATGTCAGTCATCAGGCAATGAATGTGAAAATTCTTCCCCAGAGACTACTTTCCAGCTCACCAATTTACAGGAAACTTTATATTTTAAAGCAGTGATAATCAGTTATGTATTTCACATTTATATGCGTCTTTATACTGATTTCTTTGTCTACTGTCAGTATCATTCCAAGTATAGAAATATGGTTATGAAGAAAAACCTCTGACATTAACCGTGTTGACGTCTGCAAAATGTCAGCTGGTTATGTAGGTGAGAAAGCTGAGGTTGTCTGTAATAGAAACAATTCTGAGAAGATTAGGTTGGCTTTGCTCACAGAAAACTGAACTCTCTCAGGTCACTGTAAACAAAATGTTGAGTGAAAACAATGGCCGACTGTGTAAAAATATTCATGACTTCGTGGACCGGTGAAAATCCGTGTTAGAATTGGTCTTCAGCAACACATGCTTGTCGTAAGAGGCGACTAATGGGCTTGGGTGGTCAGGCTTGATGGCTTGGTTGACACTTGTCATCGGTTCCCATTTGAGCATCATATCCCAACAGCGTAGATCAATGCTCATGCTGTTGATCACTGGATTGTCTGATCCAAATTCGATTATGTACAGACCGCCGCCATAATGCTGGAATACTGCTGAGTGCTGCTTTAAGCACCAAACAGACAAACATGACTTGGCCTGTCAGTGAAAAAATGTGTCCAGAAAATGAAGGCCTGCAATATTTAGGAAAACTTAGCAACCTAATAAAATGTATGTATCATCATTGGCTGAGGACCATTACTTATTCCACAGAACCTTATCTTTCATTGCAGGTACTGGCAAACTAGGCTTTTCTTTCGTACGTATAACAGCCATGTTGATTTCCTGCAACCGACTTTGGATTGGCACAGGAAATGGTGTGATCATTTCAGTCCCTCTCTCAGAAAGTAAGTATTTGAGCTTGTGTAAAAGTCAGTCAGTACGTTGATCCTACTGTTTCTCCTGCAATCCTGCAATCCAAGCACTGTTTATCTTACTGTTTATCCTACTATTTATCTTACTGTTTATCTTACTGTTTATCCTACTGTTTATCTTACTGTTTATCAGTTACTGTTGATCCTACTGTTTCTCCTGCAATCCAAGCAATGCTCTCCTGGCTGAAAATACAAGGCTTGATTTATATGTTACATAGAAGGGCTTGACCTAAAGACCCTAAATGATATGTGCTTCAAGATAAACCTTGCCGACATTGATAAACATTTTCCAATGATATTGGAGGGATTTTATTCCAGTTTGAAAAAGTCCTCTTAGCTGTCAAATGAGTTCTCAACAGCTTCTGTAGTGTCATCATGTAAATCGAAATGGGTTCCAACTAGGGATTAAATCATGCTTGGGAACAGATGCAAGTCTTACAGGGCCAGATAAGAGAATATTATCAGTCTTGAAGTCATTGTTCAGTCAGTCTAAGAATTTTGCTGCCGGTACTTGATCACTGCATGTTCATATAGTTTTTTTCCAAGCATCACAGATTCCTGCTTATTTTATCAAAAAATGTGTTCAGGTTTTTGTGGATATGCCTCAAAAGATACCAACAAAAGATTTCAAGCCATTCCTTCTATGTAGGGCTCACAACTTATCAGCCAACCCTTACATATCCCCAACAAAGTATGATTGTATCAATATAAATGTTTGTTTGATCGAAACATGATCATTTAGGAATTTGTTTCAAAACAAACAATCCTAACAATGTACACTGCCTTCTCTCCCCAGGCAACAAACAACAGGTAACCACTTCTAGTCGGCGCCAACCCGGGGGTGTGATACGAGTGTATAGTGACACCAAAACAGACAGTGTTACACCCGGTTCATTCATCCCCTACTGTTCCATGGCCCAGGCACAACTGTCCTTCCATGGACACAAAGATGCTGTGAAATTCTTCGTTGCAGTGCCTGGTGAGTGTCCGTTCTCACATTCCTTCATTATTCTCGTGCTATTCACTGATGGCTGACGATGTCTTGCATGTTTTAACTTCGGGTGCATGGTTTCAGTATTTTGTGCACTTCTCATGTATTTTTGTTACATTGTTAGAGAAAGCAAATGGTCAGCTGTACTAAACAGATTAATCTGAAGCCCTGTGTTGGAATGGACTTCTTAATGGCCTTGGGAAAATACCTTTAAAAATTCAAAGGTCACAAGAAAAACTGGTTACATTTTCTGAATTGTTTGAATACAGTTGTATATCTTCTCCAGGATTGGGCTTTACTTTGATAAAGATTTTAGCCAAGATTAGTCAAAGTTTAATATCACTATTTAGTCTGTAGTAAAACATTGTTATTTCTCTTGAAAGCTGTTTTTCAAAACTTCATAATGTTTTTGCTGTCGTCTATTTCTAAAGGTCCTGTAAGTCTCCTACTCTCAAATCTCCCAAGTCCAGGGGGTGGGCAGGGGTAGGTTAGGGGGCATTATAATGTCAACTATATAATCAGTACCTGTGTTTGTTATAGCAGTCAACAGAAAAGGTAAGGTGATAACAATATGTGGCCTTGCTATGTAGATGCTAGACAGTATTGGTTGGAATCAACGACTAGTTTGCCTATCCCACAGTCGATAAGTTGAAAGCTGCTGTGATGATGTTTATTGCAGCATTAAATATCACTAACTGCCCACGACATGGATTGTTAAAAATAGCATTCCAGCAAATCAATATGATATATTATCACTTGCTAGTCAGGCCTTGTGAACATCCCAGGTTAGAATGAGTGAGTGAGTATGGTTTTATGCTGCTTTTAGCAATATTCCAGCAATAGCACGGCGGGAGACACCAGAATGGCTTCACACATTGTACCCATATGGGGAATCGAACCCAGGTCTTTGGCTTGACGAGCAAACGCTTTAACCACCAGGCTACACCACTGCCCCCAAATAGACAGGAGTCATAGCACTAAATTGTATGATAAAATACAGCTCGGATCATTAAGCATTTATGAAGTGCCTGACTTTCCAGATTGGACAGATTTAAAAAGTCTGACGACAACAGCATGGTCACAGGGTTAACTGTGAAACGTTCGTATTGAGCTTGGCATTCAGGTGTGACTTGTATTGTTTGGTACTGAAATTTTTCCAGTCTGCTGCATATATTTTTTGTGCCAAGCATAGAAAATGTTGAAGTATTTATTGCCGCTCCTTGTCAATATTCAGAAAATAACCTAGGCGCAACAATGAATTATGGATTATCTGTCTGAGGTGAATAGATTTGAGCCACAGTGCATGAAGCACGTGTAACATTTATTACTGAGGAAAAGATAGGCTCCCGTTCTATGTTAGACTAACTCTCAGTCACTGAAAATATATGATTTTGACAGAAACTCAATTTAAACAAAGGAAGTCCAGTGAGCAGGGAGATTCAGACATGAGGAAATAGAGACTTGCTCCATTTAAAACCTTTGCAATGCTTTTGGGTTGGTTGGTTGGTTGTTTAACGCTGCACTCAGCAATATCCCATCTATATGGCAGCAGTCTGTAAATAATCGGGTCTGGATCAGACATTCAAGTGATCAACATCATGAACATCGATCAACGCAATTGGGGTACAGTGACGTGTCAACTAAGTCAATGAGTCTGGCCACCCGTTCCTGTTTGTCGCCTCTTACTGAAGACCAACTCTAACCCAGATCTTCACAAGTATTTTGCATTGCAAAATGGGTTGGGTGGAAGAAAAATAATGTGGTTCTGGGAGTGTGATACTGTCCAATTCCAGGGGGGTCCACAGTGGAAATAATTGTTTGAAAGTATTAAAGGGTCTAGAGGTTTGTTCCAAAAGTATTTGTATCTAGGGACCACCAAAATAACTTTTCACATGAGGACTGTGATAACGACCTAGAATTTCAAGGGTACAATGCAAACACTTAAATGAACATTGATTACCAATTCATGGTTTTTCACCTGGCCATTTGCTCTATCTGACTATTTAACAGTCTGCTAAATTTATTTAAGTTTGCTGTATATATTAACCATCATCCTTTTCAGAAAGATTATTTTGCTTCATGGCTTTATTAGTGTTAGAAAATAGTTTTATATTGAAATGTGTAACATCCTGAAAACAGTTTGTGACATAATGTACAATCTAATCCTATTATAACCACAGCAAGAAATGTGAGCTTGAAGATTACATGTATCCATTGCTCAGTCCATCCTTAATGTTCAAGATGGTGATTTAGACGTTGGTATTCTTTTCTTGATCTTGAATTTGTTGATTCGTTGCCAGCATTTAATTGTCTTTCAGTAGAATTGCTGTTACCAAGGTTTGTGGTTTACTTAGCCTTATGAGAGATTTATGCGGTAACAAATGTACTATGAAGACGTGTTCTGCTAATCTTTGGACATCTGAGGATGTTGGTGTTTTGCATGGGATCATTGAAACTCCCACGTGGCTGTTTTGTCACTTATCTTTATCTGATATACAGCAAGACATGTAACCTCCTTCATGCCTATCACTGCAATGGTGTACCAGCCATTGACTCCTGACACTGCAGACAGAGTGCCAGTGTCTGTCAACCCTAATCAGATCATCTGTGACTGAAATGATGTACGGGAGTAGGAGATGATTTTCTCTTGTCAGGCCTCCATTTGACATTATAGGTCCCTTGTGCTTACAACTTGTTGTGTTAGGTGATGGCTTGTAGGTTTTGTATAACAATAGTTCTGAGGTGGAACACAGTAACTGTGACGAAAAGTATCCTTCCAGAAACTGAACTTATTGTCGTCCTATTGCTAAATGAAATAGTTGGATTAGGGCCAGGGTCACCAGTGTCTGTCAGCCCTAATCAGATCATCTGTGACTGAAATGAGGCATAGGAGATGATTTTGTCTTGTCAGACCTCTATTTGACATTATAGGTCCCTTGTGCTTAGAACTTGTCGTGTTAGGTGACTGCTAGTAGTAGTAGGGGTAGAACAACATTCATACTGAAATGGAAGACAATGGCTGTATCTTTCCAGAACCTGAACTTATGATGTCTTTAATTTTGCTAAATGAAATAGTTGAATAAGAGCCTGGGGCACCAGTGTCAGTCAATCCTAATCAGATCATCTGTGACAGGAGAACTAAAATGATTTACAGGATTAGGAGCCGATTTTCTCTTGTCAAACCTCCATTTGACATCATAGGTCCCTAGAGTTTGCAGCTTGTCGTATTAGGTGACCGATGGTATGTCTGGAATCACTGTAGTTTTGAGGTGGATGACTTTGGTTGTGACAAGACTACCTTTCCAGAACCTGACCTGTGGTGATCTTAATGCTAAATGGAATTATGGAGTTGTGTCCTGGCTGATGTTAAAGATGTCGTGTCCTGAAAGTATTGATCAGTGTTCACAGAACAAATATCCACCTTACTCTGCAGAGTGGTGATTACTTTGCAGACTGACCCTAATGTTTTAACATCATTATACTCATCAAGTCCTTTCGACGTGGGACCATTTATCTCAGCATTCTCCATGTTTTAATTGTGCTGATGATTGCCTTTGTAACTGAACAAGCTGTGGAATGTTGACACTGATTTTTCTGCCTTCCATTGTCTTCTGTGTACCATTCAAGGAAGTGTGATGGGATTTTGTGTGTTTCAGCTTCGAAAGTTCTACTACCAGAACAAAGAGTGTGTCAAACACTTGTCTTTATACTTGCTTAAATAAGTTGTTAAAATATGATAATGAATGCTTGTTTCTATCCAAGCCAAAAAGCTTAGTCATGATGCTACACAAATATTAACCCATGGATCAGTGTGCACTACTGTTACTTTCTCAGCTCCCTAGGGAGGATACTAGACATGCTGTGGAAAGTTCATATTCATGTAATTAGCCATCTGCAACCAGGTAACTATTTGCTGGCTTTGGTAAACAGAGGTAAGTTTTTTAACTTGGGTGACATGCTTAAGGGCACACTTTCCCATTATGATGAAAGGATTGCCTTTATCCAGTGTCTGGTGATTGTACTCGGCTTTTGTGTTATGTAGTGGTGGTCTGATTAATTGAAATACTCGAAGATCGCAGTGATTAAACGACCAAGCAATCGATCATGTTTTCTCATAATCAAATTCAAAAATTTTGGAATACTGTTTGCATAAACAACATATTTCACAAGGTTGGTTTTGTCTGTTACATTTCATAAGCTTACAAGCTCGTTTTCCAAGTCATGATTGAAATTATCATAAAGACTTCAGAAAATTTATGTCACCCTTTTAAGGTGTGAAATTTGCAAATGCATTCTGCGCAATTTGCAAAAAACACCCGAAAGAACTGCATGTTTTTTCTTCTTTTTTTGTGCATTAACAGACACCAGAAGAATGATGTGATAATTGACGCTAACCAGTTATCTTCGATGATTGATTGGTTGTAATGAACCAATCATCAACTATGAGATTTTAACCAGTTCCAAACACTAGTGTTATGGGATAGTATCAGACAGGTCTGTGAGGACTGGATCATGTTGGTTGAGTGTGTTGCTCACTGGTCTAAGTTGTGATCAGATGCTGTTTATTAATTGGAATTCTGGACCTCACTTGCATGAAGCAGTATCGACGCGCTACCATTGTAGTCCCTACACTTTGACACATAGTGCATAAGTTGAGCTGTTATATTTCAGTTCAGGTAGAATAAATATTAGGTGCAGTCACTGAATATGAAGCTGTATGTGTGTACTCTCCTAATGGAGAAGCGACTGCTGGGTCTGGGCAAACTATTGGGCTGGGTAGATGCAGGTAGCCTCAAGCATTGGTACAGCTATTGTTTGTGCTATTTACCGCATTTCTTTGACAATGCAAACAATTTCCTTGAAACCTCTGATTAGACATGAGTTTGACAACAAACTATTATCCAGTTGGCCCATGTTTTCACTTTAACAAGATGGGGTGTTCAGCCATCTCTCTTGTTGTGTGACACATGATACCAGATGTACCTCAT